CCTGCCGCCCTCTTGAGAAGGTCAAGCGAGTCCGCGACACTCCACGCCACTCTCAAAATGGCGACCGCGAGAGGCCCTCGGCAGAGAGGTGTCTTTACTGAAGCCTGTCGCTGCCCGTCAAAAACATGCCCGCCCGCGGCGTTCTTGAGCCCACAGCCCGTGTTCAGGGCTCTTGAAACGTCACAAAAAAAATCCCGCCGCAGCCACGGCATCGGTGTGCCGTGCAGGCAGCTCTATAGACTTACCAAGGTCCTCTTTTTTCCCCGCCTTTTTGGCCGCCATCTTGAGAAGGTCAAGCGGGTCCGCGACACGGTACTCTCAAGATGGCGGCCTCGAGAGGCCCTCGGCATAGAGAACCGTCTCTAATAAAGCCTGTCTCCGCTAGTCAAAAACACGCCCATCCGCGGCGCCGCTGAGCGCACAGCCCGTGTTCGCGGCAATGAAAATGCGACAGAAAATCCCGCTGGGGCCGCGCCGGCGTCGGGGTGCCGTACAGGCAGCCGAGTAGACGTGTCGTGGACCTCGATTTTCCCGCCCTTTTTTCCGCCATCTTGAGAAGGTCAAGCGCGTCCCGGGCCACCCTCTCCTCCGCTTCGCCCGCTGCAGCACTTCGGCAGAGAGCGGCGTTTTGGCCGCCGCCTCTCGGGGGCTGCAGTACCGCGCTCTGTCCACAAGGCGGCAGCGCTGCCGCACGGCGCGGGGCTGCGGGCAGGGACGCGGCAAAAACCAACAGGCGCCATCCCCTCCAAAAGTCCTCCAAAATAAATGCCAAAAAACCACCGGAAGAAACAATAAACCCCTGCCTCTGACCCAATAAGAACGAAAATAAAGATCCCTTTCTTTTAAACAATACTGAAATATATTTTATTTTTGTATTTTTCGTATTTATATTCACATTTGTATGTATAATGTATATTGATGTGTAATGTAATTTATATTCTACATTACATCTGTTCCTAATACTTGGTTTATATTTCTATTTTTATACACACCGTTATATATATTGATTATAAATTTCTATATATTTATATAATGCTTATATTATTTAAAATAAAACCCCTGCCTCTACCCGAATAAAAAAAAAATCCCCTTTCTTTGAAACCGTAATTATTCATAAAATTTTAACATTTTTTAAGTTATATTTTTCATATTTATATTTACATTTAAAATGTATATTGTTGTATAGTGTTATTTATAGTCTGTATTACATCTCTTCCTATTACTTATATTTATTCATATTTTGTATTTATATATATCTTTATAAATTGATTGCATACATCTGTATTTTGAACTATATCAAAATTATATGCATATTCATATTATTAAAAATAAAACCCCTTCCTGTAACCAAATAAAAACCAAAAAAAGCCTTTCATTTTAAACTATATTTAAATATTTTTATATTTTTCATAATTATATTCACATTTGCATTTATAATGTATATTGATGTATTATATTTATCAATACATATAATATACACCATGATAATAAAATTTTTTATTTATATATGTACTGCTAATATTTGTATGTATTTAATTTTTATATATAGCCTTATGTATTTATTATATATTTCTATACTTAGATTTTTACCTTTATTTATAATTTTATAATAAAACCCCTGCCTATTACCAAATAAAAAGAAAACCCCCCCTTTTTAAACTAAATTTAAATATTTTTTCATTTATATTTTTGATATTCACATTCACATTTACAAGTGGTTATATATTACTATATATTGACTATATTTATACAATATATAGGAATATACTATGTTATAATAAGATATATACAGTATAATTTGTATTACATATTGTATAGGTTTCTATTATTTTGTATTTATATATATGCATATATTTATTATAAATTTCTATATTATATTTTATATCAAATTTTGTTTATATTTACAATCTATATGTTGATGTATTTATATAAACATATTAAATACTCTGTATTAAATTTTATATTATTGATGTTTATATGCATTCTGTTTATAGTTAAAATTTAAGTTTCATATTCCCGTTTCTATATTTATATATTTGGGGTTTTTAATATTAGTTACAATTTTGCATTTAAAATCTAATTCCTAAAAATAAAATGACAAAACAAACAATGCCAAATTCCCACCAATATTGTCCAAAAAAACAATAGCTCCACCAGCCAACCAACTACCAGCAAAAAACCTGTTCACTATGCTCTTTTCAATAACACTTATTTTCACATCACAAAAATGAAACAAAAATAAAAGACAACCCTAAAGAAACCCACACAGCAAACCCACAAAATCTCGTAAATAAAAATAAATCAAGCCAACTTACTGAACTCAAAACCATACAACTGACCCTAAATGTTACTAAAAAAAAAATAACCAAAATTCTACCTCACACTAATTAATCAAGAGTAACCAATACTCTATAAAATAACCAAAAATAACCACCAGACTAACGATTTAAAAATCCTAAAATACTACAAAGCAAAAATATCACGACCCAAAAAAATCTTCCTACAAAAAATCAACCACATAAATACCCCTGTTCCCAAAAATAAAACTAATAAAAAACAACCACCAAATAAACCAAGCTATGAAAGTATCACAAATAAATTAATTACAACAACAAAGTTATTCCTAACCCAATAAACCCATCATGCCTCAAACCATCAGAACAAAAACACCGCCTAGAAAAAACCCCAAAGCCTCAAGATAAAAGTAACCATAGACAATGTATCCCGAATTACCCGTAACAATAAGACATACGCTACAATTAAACCATCCAAATAAATCAAACCTGGTAATATAGTAAAAAATAATGAGATTATAAACACTAAGAAAACCTCACCAAGTAAGTAGGTGACAGCAACGCAGGCTCACCAAGACAAACACACATACCCACGCTAGTGAAAGCCACCACAACTTCACTAAAAACCTAACCTCTGCTTCATGCTACGGCCCATAAAAACCACTGTAAAGCTCGAAAAACAAATCCTTAAAAAAAAAAGGGGGGATGGGCAGCATGACAGGGAGGGATTAAAAAAGAACAGGAAGAGGGAACGGGACACAAGGATCCCACGAGGAGCAATGGCACAGGGAGCACCACAGAGAATAAAAAGGAACACGAGAGAGGCATGGAGAAGGACAGAAAAAGACAGAGTGCCAAACACTGCCTGTATCCCTCTGGCAGGGCCAGAGGGATACAGGGACACAGAGGGAAACAAGGACCTGGAGGGGAAACGACCACGGCACGTGGGGCAGATGTTTCCCCTCCAGTCACTGCACAAGTGCAGCTGCCCTGCAGTTCCTGCTCAGCATCTCTTCCAAGCTCAAAAGGTGAAAAAACCCCCAACATCTCCTTCCTCTAGGCAGCACAGACCCAGCAGGAGAACCTGGAATCCAAGGATGGATCTAAACATGGGAGTCCCACTTGCTACTCTGTCCCCCTTTTCTCCAGCTTAGCCCTGGGCTGGGAAACAAAAGACAACAAACATTTAAAAAGCAAACTTCGGGTGTCTTGAGGATGCCCAGCCTGGGAGAAAGCCCTTCCCACCAGCCTCTTGGCATTTTCCCACTCTGAGGAACTGTGGAAATGCACAGGAGACCCGGGGCAGGCAGCCTGGAATGTTTTCTGCACACAAACGCCACAGCCCCAAGCACCAGCAGCCTGAGGAGGCTCAGGAAAGGCTTGAATGTTCTTGGAAACGTCCAAGTGCCACACAGGAAAACACAGATTTTCATTTTAAAGTCATTTTATTTTCCGCTTCTCCGGAATTCCGAGCACAACGTCCGCATTCCTGAAGGAAAACAATACAGACCAGACCAGCTTATCCATCAGCAGTGGGTGCACTTGTCCTTTGGAGCTCCCCTGCAGTCCTGGCAGCTCGTCCTTGCACTGACAAGAGAAAACTGCGTGGCTTGAAGAGTGCCGAGATAAAGGAGGATACATTAGGAGGGCCGTGGATATAAAATAAATTAGAAGCATCTGTAAAAGTTTCTTTCCATACACAAAATAGCTTTTATTTTTCGGGGGTGATTTTCACTTTTTAAAATTGACAGTCTGTACACAGATAAACCTTTCCCCAGAAATCACTTGAAAATGCTGTTTTTACAAGGAAAAAGGAGCCACTGAACAAACCCATCCTGCAAACTCACAAGCCTCTCCTCTGCTGAGGACGCCAATCTTTGGGCCAGCCCTGCCCCAGGAGTGACACCCTGCTGCTGCTGAGTTCAGGGCCTCCAGAGCATGGAAGAAGGGAATCACCACCTTGGCCAGCTAAATCAGAGCACTGAGTGCCCCATCCAGTCCGTGGAGGGTGACTCCAGCACCTCCCTGGGCAGCCCCTTCCACCGCCTGACCGTCCTCTCCATGCAGGAATTCTTCCTCAAGTCCAGCCTGACCCTCCCCTGGCGCAGCGCGAGGCTGTGACCTCTGCTCCCGTCGCTTGTTACCTGGGACAAGAGGCCACGGCACAGCTGGCCACAGCGCCCTTGCAGGCAGACAGCCCAGAGGTTACCTGGGAGAGCGTTCCAGGAACCACGACACTTCATTCTTTTAGCAGCAGTCAGCGATGCCCTCAGGCTCCCAAGAGCTGGAGCACAGAGCACGTGTCAGCGCACAGGAATTCACACACAAGGAGGGTAACCTCCTGCCAAGGAGGAGCACGGACACGTGGGCTTGCCTACAGCTTTTGGGGTGTCAGATTGGTTTTGCCGCCTTGCTGTACTACCCTAAAACCTAAGGCAAGAAACTGAGCTTTAAAATGAAGACTACGACATTTCTAACCTCTCCCCAGCGTCAGAACAGAGATAAGGAGGACCAGCCTGTGCTGCTTCCAAACTCTGGTACAGAAATAGATCACTAAGTCCTTTGGGCAGTCTCAACAATCGGCAGGTTCTTCCTCCAGCTCTCGCTTCCAGCAGGTAGAGTCAGCTCCCGTTGCCAAGCCCGGTGTCTCGGCCAGCATCTTGGATGAGAAGTTTGTGTTCACTTTCCTTGGAATGGCTGTTTGGAATCCATCCCGCTCCCATTCTGACTGCCTGGAAACCTTCACATGTTCCCTTTCCTGTCCAAAGGAAATGCCTTGGCAGTGCAAACACGGAGCAGGTGTGACGAGACTCCTGCCCACCCCCTTCCCCGGCAGGCAGCCACCACCCACCCCGGCGGTGCCCAAAGGCCTCCGAGGCGCTATCTGCACGCGCAGGACTCCACTGTCATGTTGGGGTACACCTTCAGAACCACGTTCTTGTTCTCATCGAAGAACAGGATACTGAGGGAAGACATTTTGTCAGGGACGCAGCAAGGCTCGGGAATGCCGGGAACGACTCCGACGGCTCTCACAATGCTCTGGATGGTGGCGTGGTTGGATGGCTTCATGGCCTGCAAGAGACAGACACGGCAGAACGTGTTACTGACCCACACTGCCATGGATTACAATCAAACTGCTTTGTTCAAGGGCCCTGTGGAGACCCCTCAGCTGGAACATCTGCAGCCAGTGGCACTGCTGAGGAAGGAGCCTCCAAGACAGCTCTGCCTCTTACTAAAGTGACATTTTCCTCAGGGAAGAAACTTCAAAGGACAAAGTTTCCTAAATCTATAAAAAGGGACACACTCAGGTTTGCTCTGAACAGAAAGAAAATCTGCCTGGTAAGGTAACTGCACCCTGAAATGCTTCCTGATCCAAATACCTGCACAAGAGATAGCTGGGTATGAAAAATGCACAAGATACAGCTTTTAGCCAGGGACTTCTTCCTTGGTTTTTAGAGTTCTTACACACACAATCTGGGAATCGAAACAGTTCAGTGTGTATCCCATCATATGTCCCTGGGAAATACACAGAACCAGGTCATTTTGGCCAAATGTTCAATTTGCAGTGTTGCTGCAATGAGAGATTATTTGGTTCTGGGAAAAAAAGTCAGTCCTAAGGGTTAGATATGGACCTACAAACAGAGCAGGAATAACTGTGAATTCCAGCTCATCATCTCGTTTGCTCAGCACACTAGTACATGAAGTTGTAAGTCCCCATCTAAGCTGATCAAAGACATTTCTGTTGGTTTGTTTGGAATTCAAGAGTACCTACACTCCTCAGCAGTAGCAGCCAGGGATTTAAAAAGAAGTTTTGGATTATCATACAACTCAGATTTCCACATAATTTCTGTCTTCAAAGGGAAGTGAAAGGTCTGGTAGTGCCCAGTCATGTTCCCTTACTCAGCTGCTGGGCAGCATTCTCCCCAGAATAACTGGGAGCCAAGAGCTGGGAGCTGCTGATCACAAGCCAAAAGGCAGAACACCACTGCCCTGCCGAGTGTCACTGCAGCTGGGTCACACGCAGGGCACACAAAGGCAGCTACCAGCTCCCACTCCTGACAGGAGAGCGTCTCCAGAGCCCACAGGCTCCACGCCAGGTCACGCTCCCAGCACAGGTGGGTTTGGCAGCAGTCAAACCAGCTGGCTAGAACCAGGCATGGCTAAAAAACTGCCCATCTGGAGGTGTGGGGGGCACATCTGTTCTCCATTACCCACCAGGCTGTTAACCCTAGGCTCAGGCTCAGCAAGGAACATGCAGTACCCACAGGCACAGTCTCTTACTCCGAGGTCAGGGTATCCTCCTGCAAACGCCGTCTCAGGAGCCGCAGATCCTGTGGTGCTCAGCTCTGAATCCTGCCCTGCAGCTGGAGCTAGGCAAGTCTCCTCCAAGGAGAGGACCCTGCCTTCTGCAGCTTGCTTTGTCCGTGTGCCATCCCCTTTGGTGCACTTCTTCCCCCCATCACTTTCCAAGGGAGACTCCCTTGGCTCCTTAAGCCACTGAAACGCCACATATATTTTGGAACCAACTGCTCTGGCCTCACTGTGGCAGGACCACAGACTCTGGAATGAAACGCTGCAGTGAGTCCAAGAGCCCTGCCTTGACTGATGTTTCCTGCAGCTGCTACTTGTGCATACCCCTCGTTTTAGGCCAGCCTCAAATCCCCTGTCCTACTCCCAGGTTTAGGCAGCCTCCAGGGCCCACTAAGAATGTTGTTAAGAATGACACTGGACATTTGGAGCAGAGTTCATCTATCTAGGTCACAGGGCTAGGAGCACATCAGCTTCCCCTGCCACCCACATGCAACCAGCTCACACAAACCGCAGGATATTTTGAAAGTGAGTGAGCCTGAATCCATTGGCTTTGGATCCCCTCGGTCCAGTGAAGCAGAAGTGATTCACTCGACTCTGTGGCACCCCAACCACGCCTGGCAGTGCCCGGAGCTGGAGCTCCATGCCCTTGGGGCAGCCTTGCCACTGCCTGTGGTGGGGCCCTGGGCTCCTTTTGGGCACAAGTGCTGCCTGCCTAACAGTTTTCCAGATCTGGCTTGCATCGCTGGCTGCCTTTTTACGGGAAACAAAATGCCCAGTTTATGGTAACAGTGAAAAAGCATCATTCATACCTTTGGAATTGGGAATTGGCATTCTCCTGAGCAGTAGTAGGCGTCAAAGGACTTAGGGGAAATAATCCACTCGCTCCAGCCGATGTCTGCAAAATCCACCTTGAGGTAGCGCCGGGCGCAGCTCCTCGGCTCGTTCCACTGCTTCCTCCGCGCCTTCTTCAGCGTCTGCTCGTCAAACTGCAGAGTCTGGCTCTTCTGCACGTGACTCTTCCTCTGCTTCTTCTTACTCCTGGCCCTGTCTGCCAGCTGTGGCTGGAAGGCCTTGTAGGGCTTGGTGCCCTCCCAGCGGCGCTCCTCGCCGTACTGGTACCTGGCTCCCGGCAGCTCGTTGTTCTGCAGCGGCAACAGGGCGCCTGCGGAGCGTTTCCTCCGCTGCCTGTTGCTGCTGCTCCTCCTGGGGCCCTCTGCCTTGGGAAGGACCCTGGCCGGAGGATGGCGGTGTCCTCGCAAGGTGGAGACGACGCTCTCTGGCTCCGAGATAGCGGAATCATTGGCGTAAATCAGGATGTAGGGCTCGTAGGAGGAAGACGCCCTTTCCCAGGGATGGCGGCCGGGCAGATCCATTTTAACACTGATCAGCAGCTCGTTGTTTTGCTTTGCTTCGTGCAGGAGCCGAGTGATATCCTTCCACTGCCAGGAAAGGACATCCTGGTAGGCAGGGGAGACATTTATGAGGAAACGTCCCAGGCTGCGAGTCGGGTTCCCAGCTGAAGGGAAGGTCCAAACGGAAAGGCGTATCTGAATTTCAGGTGTGCCGTGCCGGTGATGAGAACAGCCGCTGGGCTGGGAACAGTTCCACTTCACGTGCAGCAGATCACCTACATAATAGTACACCGAAGCTGACAGGACGTTTTCAGACTCCGTGAGTGATGTCAGGTTAAAAACGTACATCTCCTGGCCCTCGGGGCTCCCTGGAAAAACAAGTAATCACGTAAGAATGTGGGCATCCAAAAATGTCATCCAGAGGGGACACAAGGCTGCTCTGACAGCCTTTTGGCTAAATCAGATACTACTCATGCCCAAAGCTTCCCTCTAGAACAGTAAATTACACTGGGTACATTTAGTCATTCCATCTTGGACACTTCATCCATTTTCAGGCCAGAGATAGAAGGTATTTACTACTACAGCTGAAGGCAGGCAGACAGTACTAGAGCAACCCTGGTAGCCCAAACAAAGCCAATCCAAAAACCAGATTTGAGGGCTCAGGGGTGGAACACGTGGGGGACTCTAACCCCCACAAGGTGCAACAGCAAGGCTCAAGAGGAAGGTGTGATTTATTTTTTTTTTTAATTCACTGTGGGCTGCAGTTATGTTCGTTCTTCAGAGGAAGAGAAACACAGATCAGAATGTTAAGCTGTAAAACCAGGCTGGTAGGGAAAACTCAAATACAGTGTAGCTAAGGTATGGTCTGCAGCCCCGCCCAAAGGGCTGGAAACACCCTGACACATTAGGGAAATGCAGAATTAAATGCTTTTTGGACACCAGGGTTTGTGAAAAGCCTCTCCAAAGGGTCAGTCCCAGCAATGACAAGCACAGAGATGGCCACAGACTAGGGGTGACCAGCCACACCACTCCCACCCTCCACACAAGGTAGGAAGTCCCTTGCCCAGGCAAGTGAAAACACCATTTCCAGCACTCATCTTTCACAGACATTGACCAATTCATGTTCTGTTTGACATTCAGTGCCTCCAGCCCGTAGCATCCCAAAGGCCAGTGCCACTCAGGTAAGTTTGGCAAAAGCCTGGACTCTCCCTGCGCTACCCCATCCCTCCCCCAGCAATCCAAGCAGCTTCCTCCTCTTCTGAACATTTTTGTGTCATAGTATTCCAATCAGTACATTAAAAAGCAGGAAGAAAGGGAGAACCCTTCTCCCCAACTTAGCAGATTCACTGCTTCGTGGAATTATGAAAAAAACCTGCACATCTTCTTCAGTGGAAAAGGGTCAAAACAGTGGAAAGGCCAAATGATCTAAGGAATCATCTTTGTTCACACATTCAGCCTAATCTGACAGTAGAGCACATAGGTAACTTAGCAAGCACTGAAAACTCAGGTACCACTATTATTGCAGATGCCTAGGGAACTAGATTTACCTGGAATTCCATTCTCCTTTGTATTCCTCAAGCCAAAACCAGCCCTTGATTATGCTTGTACCGGGCATACACGAGGACCTCATGTCTGCTTGGTTTGTGACCACTGATGTAATAAGGTTAATATCTAATTTGGCAGAGCACTGAGTAGATCAGTCTTAGGAGCAAGAATTCATGGTGTCTCACAGGCACCTGTTTAAGAAATTGCTATTTGAATCACTGTCGTGCATTGAAGGACAAGTCTTGATCTTAATTTTCATTACCAATGCCACTTAAAAAAACCCGCCTGTTCTAAACTGGCATATTGTATTGGAAGACCAAGGAAGCCACTTTTGTTCATCCAGAAATTCTGGACAGCATGGGGCGGACACAGAGGGAGTCTATAGTTTTGGTTAAAAGCTAAATTCCAGCCTGTAGCTCTATGCCAAGATGAAGCACTTGCAGTAGATGGTGCTGTTTTCCCACACAACCACCTCCCAGCTTCAGCAGCTCCGAGTTCTCCGACCTTTCATCTGCAAAATCTCCTCAAAAACACTTACTAGCGGCCAGCACAGACATCTGTGGATTCACCAGATTCCGCCTCTAGAAACCCAACCGCATTACCCAGGGCTCCATGACAATTTGGGAGCACCAGGTCCAGTACACCACTTGTGCCACACCGATACCCGACTCCCAGGCACGAGCATTGCACTGAAATAAGCGTTCCCTGGGCTAGAAATCACCCTGAAATATTACATGCCAAGGAAGATAGCTTCAAAATAACTACAAAAGCGTCTTTTGCTCAGGAAAATTTCATTTCATTGAAATGAGACTTTGCTTTTGCTCTGCTGGAAACCATTCCAGACTGTTCACTAACAGCTCGAACCCAGCTCCTGGCACTGCAGCTGAAGTACCTGCTGGATCTTAGGGGCATGGCCCGTGCTTCCTCGTCTCCCCACACCAATCCACAGCTGCAAGGAACTGTGACTGGCATTAAAAGAGTATTTTTAAGGAAGTGCAGTCAAGAGGGACGTTGCTGGCACAAACAGATTCCTGTCACAAGGGGGATTCCAGGCATCAAAAAGCTGGAACGAGTCTGCGAACATGTGGTGTGTTCACCTTTATAGAGGATGCCCTGACATTTTTATGGACTGCCAAATCTATCCCACGGGTGAAAAAGGATGCAGTAACGAGAACTATTTAGTTATAGAGTCACCATTAGCCACCATTTAAAGGAGATATTGCAGAGGTGCCCTGTGCCAGGGCCCGGTTAAGGACGGATCGGCGTTTCCGGTGTAAAACATTGTTCTCATCGGTTCACAGCCCACGTACAAAAGTTCACTTGGAGCTGGAAACGGGAACGAGTTCCTCTACAGAAACAGATTTGCAAACCAGATTTTCTCTTTTCTCCCACCTTCCTTTTGCTTGACTGCTGCTTCCTAGTTACCAATTTGTGTTCTGTGCAAGAGGAAAAGATAGGATGGGGTTCTCCCTTTTGAAAGGGCATAGGACCTGGTGCCAAACTGGTTTTACTAATTCTTTGAGCAAAGCAGGTAAGATCACGGCAGCTAACAACTCGATATAAAACAGCAGCAAGTTCACCAGGGACTAAAGCTATCAGCCGCCCAAATAAAGAACTTGTGTAGAAACAGCAAAGCTGCATCCCAGGACCTAACTTACATGAGGGTTTCATGATACGAAACCCACAAATCTGCACATTGCACACCGGCCACTTGATCTCTTTTCTATATATTTGAAGCAGGAGGACCACAGGAGGTGTGAAAACTAAACACGGCATCTAGCTTGAAGCTAGCACAAGCCAAGCAGGTACATCCACAAATCCGGGCAGGAGAGCCGACCTCGCTCTTCCTCACAGCCACGATTCATCACACCTGGGCTGCTGGGGTGAAAAGCAACTTGTGCACAGCCTGTCCTCTGATGCCACAGCTCCTCACGCCGAAGTAGGAAACACTGTCCTACAAACAGGGACCAGCAGGGAACTGCAAACACAGGTCGCTCACGTGCGTGGCACTGCTGTGAGACACACGGTGACAGAAGCCAGGAATTCTGTCCTGAGAGGCCGAACCTACAGATCCTGCCCATTTGCCTCAGAGGCGTGCAGATTTGGGCAGATCTGCCCAAATCATAGCTTAATGTTTGTCGAGTTCCTGGAAAATACCAGGGTGCTACTGTTTGCATTGTATTTACAGGGGTGCAGAGGAAAAAAACCAAACCCAAACGCACAGAAGGAAAAAACCAAAGTCTCCTGACTGAATATTTGTAAAGCTCTTGTTGCAAAGAACCCCTGGTGTTACTGGTGCTCAGAGGGGCCAGCGTTTGGCCTGGACTGGTTTCTGCAGGCTGAAGGCAGCCGGCGAGGCGCTGCTTTCCCCGTTCCCCTGTCTGCGTGGGCACCTCGCACCACAACAAAGGAAAGAAAGGCCTTGGGAAAGGGAGGAGAACATAGTTCTAAAACCACAAGAATTGGCCTAGGGGCAGGTGTAATACCTGAAATTACTTGAACTTCAGTCAATAAAAAAGAGTTTAAAGTAATTTCTGACTGTATAGCTTTACTATAACACCATTAGGAGGACCTTCCAATTAAAGTCAGGACTCATTTGCAAGCTGTGCTCCCTAAGTGATGCTAGGATTAAAAACGCTTTCAGAACCAAACCTAATCTGCATTTGAGGCTTTTATCTTTCCGCTCTCTTTTATTTTCTCGTGCTGCATCTGACCTCCACACCCTGAGCCTGGGCAGCCACCAGCACACCTCCCGAGGCAGTGCTGAGGGTAAGCAGGCTCCTGCTCAGGTCTCTTTCAGGAGGAGAGAAGCTCCAGAGTTCCCTTGCCAGAGCTGCCCGTTCGTTCCATTGTGGCTCACAGATCACCTGACCTCCTTCCTATGTGTCTTTTAGAGCCACAACAGATGGAAAACCACTCACCCCTGTGGCACCCACAGGTGAAAAACTGGAAAAGGCCTGGCCAAAGCAACACAAGAACTACCAGAGTCATCCCAGAAATGTCCTGCAACAGCGAGAAGAGCTGCCACAGAAATCACAGGCTGAACATCCCTCAACTCAGATACAGAGAAACAAATTAGAGCAGTTAAGTCCACGAGAGAGAACAGTGTTAAAGTGTAGCTAAACACTCTAAGAAAGATATACATACATCCTTACTGCACTCCTCATGAATTTCGGGACTGTGGGTTTTTTTCAGCTTTGTCAAAAGCAAAGGTCCCTTTTCCTGAGCTATTCAAACTGTACAATTATGCTCCCAGATAATTTAGCAAGACTAACAGCAAACAAATTTACCTGAATGATCGCATGGACATTCATCAAAATGAACGGCCAAAACCCCCAGCCCAAACAAGCCTGGTTGTGAATTCTGGTGCTTGAGAGGTTTCAGGGCAGCGTGGGACGGAGGCTTCAAAGAGCTGTCACACAGGGCTGAAGCTCTGGTCCCATCCCCTCAGAGAACTGAGCAGCAGAAAGAGAAAGTTGCTTTTAAGAGGAATGAGGATGCTTGCTTTGATTAATCAGTCGTGGCTGGGTTTTGCTGGCTGTGGGTAACAGGGCTGCAGCTGCCACGTGCGACACCACTGTTCTTTGACCAGAAACAGGGATGAGTTTCAACAAATCCTACGAGCTTTTGGTCTCATCACACAGCACTCCAGACTCTCAGCAATTTGTCTGCTGAGTTACCTGGGAGATTTGGGAAAGGCCTTTCCCATGTGCTGCAGAAGAAGCAGAAGCCCCTGCAGAGGGAAAGCAAGGATGGAAAGGTTTCACAGCTACCTGTGAGAGCTCAGAAAATCTGTGCTTCAGAAAAGGAACAGTTTCTCTGCTGAAAATGTCAGGCTAAACTGCAAAATTAAACTGCAAATGAAACCACTGAAAACTTGCTTCAAGACCTCTTGCTGTGCATGGAGGAGACATGAGAGAATTCTTGGGGAGCTTCTGCTCCTAGCAGACAAAAAGCTGAGTCCTGAAGGGGCTGGCAGAGGGACTGGTAAAATGTGAAGGTGTAATAGCAAAATCACATATTAAATTAACTGATGCATCCCATTGAGGACAAGGGGAAACCCGTGGGAGACTGAAATTTGGAGCCAAGGAGTGCAACAGCCAAAGCAGAGGACCTAGACACAAAGTACCTTGGAAGGGGAATACTGCTGGATGTGCCATTTTCATGGCAAGCCTCATCAGGCAAGTCAGAAAAAGTCTTTCCATTGCACCCACCGCCCTGAGGAACACCACATATAAGGGCTTTCTGGAAACAGATTTTCTGCCATCAATAACCACACGAAATAAGCTGCTGCTGCTGCCAATGGCAAGAGAAAGACAAGAGATAACTGGTTAAATATTTTGGATAAATACTTATTAAAGTGTCAACAATTTTTAAAACTGATTTATTGCTTTGGCACTCGATCTGTGAAAGTATTGGAGGAGGAGGAAAGGGATTAGCAAGCAGTGTGTTTATAGGACTGCTGCCACTCAACATCAAGTGAGAGTACTAATATAATCAGAAAGACCACAGAGATGGGATTTCAACCAACAACATTCTAGGTTTAGAACAATAAATGGCTTTAATCAGATATGCATAACAGAGCACATATTGCTCTGCTAGGATCATTAACCTCACAACCTCTCCTCTTTTTTTTTTTTTTGGGGGGGGGGGGGGTGTGCTGTAGTGAGTATTGTATCCTCCCCTCTTTTGGTAGGCTTAATTCAGTGACAGTCATGGACATGAGACTTCACTAGGCAAACCAGTCACATTAGAAAGGCAAGAGAGCTCTTCAGCAAGAGAAGCAGCTGGGCAGAGTCCTGGCTCTCAGCGCTCCAAACCCAGGGTAATTACTCCTCTAAGGCCTCTCCTGTGGACAGAAATACTTGCAGGGTTGAAACCTAAGACACCAAAGCCACTCATTCCTCATTGTATTTGGTCTCTGCACAGAGCTGCCTTACAAAAGACACTGATGCTTTTGAAGAAGCAAGGAAGCCTGCCACCCACAGCTCTCTTTGCTAGGACAGGAAGGACTTGAAGCAAGTCACTGAAACTCACGGGCAGCTCTCACTTATACTGATAGATGCTTGCCCAAGGAAAAGCCACTGGGTCAGTGCACTGGTGTAAAGAAAAGTAAGAGACTGGCAAATGGGGCTTCTGTGTGTGCCGTGACAGCAAGGTTTTGGGGTGCAGCAGATAAGGGAAGGACGTCCCAGCGATGCTCATCTTTGGGTGCTGGCCATTCCATTTAGCCCTTGTGGAGCTCACATGCACAAAAAACACAAGAGGGAAGGGTTAAGGCTAGCATTTAGACAGTGACTTCTCTTTCTGCTAGGACATGGATCTTTTGAGATGCTGGCATGTTAAACTCGTCCCCCTCCCTTAAAGAAAACGTTTTTACATTTTCACCCAACCACCTGTGAATGCCAGTGTGTAATCACAGAGAGACGTAAGCGCCCTTTCCAAAGATGCCAAGATCCAAGAAATATTTGCAACGCTTAAGTGATGCTTCAACTGAACTCATCTGCCACTGCATCTCTCTGCCAGTAAACCCCAAGCCATGTCACAGCTCCGTCAGGTGCAAACCAGCCCTTGGCTCCAACAGAAGCTACACGTGCAGAACACCACTAACAAACAGGGGACTCCGGAGAAGCTCCGCTAATTACTCCACCTCCCCTGCACCGTACTCAGCCACCGCGACGACAATGATGCTTGAAGCAGAGCAGAAGCGGTAAGGCAATAATTTAAGCACAGGACATAACCCTACAGCCCCCGCAGGAAGCGATACTGCTCCAATTCTCTCATTTCTCCCCTCCACCGCGCTCTCCGGGCACCACCCCAGCGATGCTCTTCCCCCGGCCGCGGCGCGCACTCACCTGCCGGCAGCGGGCGGAAGCCGCGCACCGTGTTGCCCCGGCGGAGCCACGGCGCGCCCGGTGTCGGCGGCTCTCGGCCGCCGCGGTACTGCTCGTAGAGCCGCAGCATGTGCTCCGCCACCCTGTCCGCCGNCGGCGCGGCGCCGCAGCCCGAGCCGGCGCGGCCGCAGCGCGTCCCCCAGAGCCAGGCACAGGCAGCCCCATCCCAGGCACAGGCACAACACCCAGCGGGCCGACGCCGCCATCCCGCCGGCGGCGCCCGGGGGACGCTCGGGCCAGGCGAGCCCGGCGCTGCGCGGAAAGCGCGCTCGGGGCGTTCTCTCCTGGGGAAGGAAAAAAAGGGGGAAAGGGAAAAAAAAAACCGACAAAAAGCGGGGCGGAGGAAAGCTCCGCGGTCTGGACCGCCCTCCCTGTGCGGCGGGGAGCGGGGGGTTTTATTCCCAGCCGCGCAGGTTGCGGCGGTGCTGCTCCCGGCTCGGTGCAGCCCCGAGCCGCGCAGAGCGGGGGAAGAGCGGCGATCGCCCCGCCCGCCCTCGCTCCGGCGGGGGCGAGGTGCGGAAAGCCGCCACCCCAGGGGAGCGCAGCGACGGGACGGGACGGGACGGAGGGAGGGGATGCTCTGGAAACTCCATCCCCCTGGGCGGACGGCGATCGAGGAGGACGGTCCCCTGCCCGCCTCCACCCAGCCCCTCCCAAAGGCCGTACAATAACGTGATCGCCTTGGGGGAAAAAAAAAAAATAAAATAAAATCGCGAGTAGTAGCGCACTCGCGCTTCTCCCGCGGAACGTCTCAAGGCTTGGCTGGGAGTGGAGCACAGTCCACCGCGGGCAGGTGGAAGCGATGCTCACCGGGTTTCTGCCTGCCTCTCCGGGGTACCAGCCACCCTCAGAGACCCTCGGCTTCCTCCAACCCGGCCGGGACCGGCAGAGCTGCCCTGAGCAGCCCGGAGCCCGTGGGAGGAGACGCGCACCTAGAGAAATCCTCGGCTACAGCAGGGCACGGCAAGGCGTCCTTGCCCGGCTGAGACAATTCCATGTGCCTCCCGCATTTGCTGCCTTTCAGCACCAAGGGACAGAAATGTCTCAGCCTTACACAACAGCCCAGCACACAGGACGCTGTCCCTCAGCAAATCTGCTTTGCAACAAAGGGGTGCCTCGTCTGTACCTCGGGCAGGGAACACACCGGAGGTGGAAGAGGAGCCTCGCTGCAGGGCCACAGTTCCTGAGTGTGCTGGTTCCCAAGACCGGCTTGGTTTCTAAGCTGAAGAAGGGAGATAATAAGATTGGCCTAGAGACCAGCACACGGAGCTTAGCACGTATCATTTCCAGCACAGGGCATTTGGCTTTTCCACGGGCTACAGCAAGTGTGTCATTATCCAGCCCTGAATAGTACACCACGACACACAATGTATTGCCTCTCAAATTACACTGAAATTAGGATGGGCAGCAAGCACTGTCACGCAGTTGTAACAAGCCCATCTGTAACTGCGAGAGGCGAGTGCCCACCAGCAGGTAGGGAGGAAAGTGAAGATTCTCAACAGCACAGCAGTGATTTTTATATGCTCCCCCATTTGAAGGCTCAGATACAACCCCTGTCAGTGACTCATCTTCAAACAGTGCTGAGGCACCAAAAGCTGCCACATGCATCTCCAAATCACATCCGTAGATGTGGAAACACACACCGCGTCACTATCCATGCAAGTGGTACCATTATCTCTACTTCTCATTAGGTAAATGCACATTAAAGGCAATATAAAAGCTAACAATACAAGTAAACATAATTAATAAGCTCATAATTAAAACATTAAGGTATAAATTGCCTTTTTTTTGACACAAGTAATAAAACCAATGTGGATCCCTGCAGAAAGAAAACAAAATTCTTCAAACTGATGGCTGAAAAACTCAGCACAAGCAGCAGTCCCTGGCTTATATCCATGGCACAAGTGTCAGTCCCAAAGAAGGCTCTCTACACAACTGGAAATTACCATTTCAGGATAATTTCAGGATTTCAGTTTTTTCCTACTGTTGAAAGAAGCAACATCAAAAAAATCCCCAAGCAACAACACACCACATGTCTTTAAAGCAAAACTGGCATAACTGAACCCTGTCCTACACCTACAGCACCAAGCCATTTGCTGGAAGATGTCATCTTCTGCACATCCCCAACACATCCTCTGAGCAGCTTCCTGACTCTTGAGATCAGACCACTGTAAATCGAGAATTACCTGAGTTGACAAAAAATTAAATAAGCCCTCAGAGATACTGTGTATCTGTAACACCATTCTCAAGCTAAAGGGGATTAGACAAGAACCACTTTCAGTTTAACATGGAAGCTCAAGCACCCTATGGCTGAGCTTTTATTTAAAATCCTTTGAGTGCTGGCAGAAAGCCCCGTTTATGCAAAATTAACCCCAAATTCGGTTCCCAGAACCTCACCCCAGCACTCGATTGCAGCTAAGTGTCTAAAATAGAAAGTTAGCCCTATAAAAGCCTGTTACAGCCAGCAAGGAGAGAGAAAGAGGACACTGCATGTGAAACAGAAAGGAAAAAGTGACATCTCAGGGCATTAGGAGCCTCCTCTGAATCCCCCTTTTCAAACAGCCACCGCAGGCGCACACAGGGTTTCAAAAATCCCTCACTTTATGGGCTGTCTGTCCCTGTGACATTACCAGGACACTCATTACACAGAGTTCTGCAGCTTGCAAAGTTTAAGAATATCCCCCACTCCAGGAGATTGTTAAATGCCAGAGCCTTGTGAGCACACCATCCAAACCAAACCAAACCAAACCACGTCAGGAGCTCCTCTCCACAGCCAACAAACTCTCACACCTGACCTCTAGGGGAACTGTGCTTCTGTGCTATTCCTTTTCTGCTTCTTCCACACAAGTGCTGCAAACCAGTTATCCAGACATATCCTGCCCTCCAGCTACAGCCAGCACAACTCCAGGCCCTATTGGCCCTGAGCAGCTCCATCCTGATCACCACGGTCTCCAGCCTGTGCAGCAACCTGGCATTTTAATTCCTTAGCCCCTGGCAGAGAGCAGGCTTCAATCCAAATTAAGTTTATTTAAATGGTGAGGAAGGCCTGTGCCATCGTCAGGGCCAGCCTCCCCACCCTCCAGCACCCCCTCCAAAAGTCCCATTTCAAACCTCCACCAAAACTTCAAGGTTTTTCACTTTCTCAGCGCTTGCCACAGAGTGCACAACCCAGCAACTTTGCAGCTATTTGTTCTCTTTACACAAGCGCTCGGAAGTCCCAGGGAACAGGAAACCACAAATACTCCTTCTAGAGGAAATGAAATAATTACATATTTGCATAACAAAGTGATATTAGCAAAATCTGTTCAGCATGTGAAGGCTAACCCCACACTCGTGCTGCTGTTTGCCTGGCTCTCAGCTGCTGCAGAGCTCACTCAGCACAGCAACCTCCGCTGCTGCTGTGGCTCCCGCATCCAGCCCTCCTGGCTGTCATCTGGAGAATTCCCCACTGCAGCTCCGCCTCGGCTGCCTCGCACCAGCCCTCCACACATCTGTTTGGCTGTCTCGGAAGGGCTTCTGTGTGCTCTGCTGTGGCAGGGCTCCTGACACCGACTCCTTGGGTCAGAGACACCAGCTCTGCCCCAGCCGTGCGTTCCCAGCCCCACTCTGACCAGACCCCAGCCCGTGGCTCTGGTGTGCTGTCCCGCATCCAGGGACCTTGTCTCTTCTCCCTGGGGTCAATCGGCTCTGCTGGACCACTGTGCCCTGGTCTGTATCACTTCCTTGCATCCCTGACACACACACATTCCAGGCACGCCAGGTACAAATGAGAATGCTGAGCAGCTTGTCATCCAGCACTGCCTGGAACCACAGAACCAATCCAGCACTGCTCGGAACCATGGCACCAATCCAGCACGGCTCAGAACCATGGCACCAATCCAGCAACACTCAGAACCACAGCACCAATCCAGCAACGCCTGGAACCATGGCACCGATCCAGCAATGCTCGAAACCACGCCACCGATCCAGCACTGCTCAGAACCATGGCGCGCATCCAGCAATGCCTGGAACCATGCTCCATGGACCTCAATGCCCTGCGCTGGCTCTCCCATTACTGGAAACAAGGAGACACGTGCTCCCTGTCGTGCTCCTGCCCACGGCCCCAGAGATGTACACAGGGAACAGCCTCGCATGAGGCAGGCCGAGGTGGGAAGCCCCGAGCAAACCCCCTTGTGCACAGCCATTCCCTGTATCCCCTGTGCTGGCTTTTCCAGGCTCGCCAGCTGGGCTGGGTGTTTGCTCAGGTGGCCAGCAGCAGCCTCCCCCCTGGAGGGGCCCTCCAGCAGAATTTCTTCTCTCGGGATCACACGTTTCTCTCACCGTGGAGAAGTTCTGCGGCAGGACCTGTAAGAACGCTGCCCGGAGGCGAGCAGAAATAAAGCGCGCCTTGAGCGAACAACAGCCAAAGAAGGAGAAGGACGTTCCCCTTCCGTGCAAAGCCGTGTTCTGTACACACAGCTCAGCTCATCTGCGTGGCCGCAGTCCGTTCAGCACCTGTGTTTTTGTTTTCTTTGCGGTGGGAACTGCGGCTTGGCCTGCACTGCTTGTCCCTGCCTGCCTCGCAGAGAACTGCCCAAAGGTTTTAGTCATCCGTAATCTGATTTCTCTGTGTGGGGAAAGGGAGCTAAGGGTACAGTTTCCCCAGCTGCCTCTTTCACAGAGGGCCAAAAGGAGAACATCTAAGGACCAAAAGCGTTCCACTAAATAACAACTCCGCTGTGAATGTGATGGTGGCTCAGCAGAATGAAACTCCTCAGCACCAACCTCCTGCTACTTTCCAGCTTCACTCTGTCATCCAAAACAACCACCACAACAACAGATCCCCATGTTGTTGCAAGACCAAAGATCCAGAACAAAATTAGGATTTTGGTGGGGTGAAGAAATAGAAAAGAACTGAAAACATATACAGGCTAATACAACCTGCAGACCTTAACTGATGCACACAGTTCAGATGTGCTGGAAAAAGACCTACAACTCTCCCCACCGGTACAAAATCTAGATTTCCATGGATGCACTTGCCCATCAATGCCCAAAATCAGTTCCCTTACGGCAGCATGCAAGCCCTGTACCTACAGTAAATGTCACAATCAGTGGCAACAGCAGAATCTCCTTTTGGAAAAAAACTTAAGACAGTTCCATGCACCTTATGTTTACAGCGAGAAGTAGTCTTGGGGTGGACAGTTGGCATTTGTTCCTGCTGGAGAGC